TCCGAATACTACTACACGACTTTCCAAAGGAAAAGCGAAACCCCTCGTGAGTTCTACTACAGATTGAACAAGGTTGCTGGAAAAGTGGACATTGACGTCAAGTCTACAGACATCGCACGCGACCGACACCTGAAGGTGTTCATCAAGAAGTTGAAGGATACTCAACTGAGATCAACGTTGCAAGGTCAGCGGGTCCGCAGTCTGAAGGACTTGGAACATATCCGAAGCAGCATGAAGAAATCTGGTGGAGTGACGATCGAGAAGCGCACCCTCTGAAGGGTAACGACCGAAAGGCCGAGGGCGCATTCGGAAATCGGCAACGACAGAAGAACCACAGCCGGGTGTACAACGTCAATGAGTATGAAATTTTTGCAAGTGATGATGAGCAACAAGTTCTGTTTGACCAAGGCGTTGAAAGTACGCATCCCAAAGTGCCATTTGGAGAGTCTGTTTCCGACAAAGATGTCGATGGTTTGTCTGGAGATATCCTCGACGGAACGGCGATGCTTCGGAAACAAGATGTCACCTCAGAAGTCTGAAATTATGGAGAATTCCGGCTGGAGACCTCCGAACTCGGAGTACAGGCCACCGCCAAAAACGGACTTTGGAAGACCACAACAGACGCGCCATTGTGATAACTGTGGCGAAGGATCACACTCCACAGAGTTCTGCTGGGCAGATATGGAATGCAATCGGTGTCACAAGAAGGGACATCCAGCTAAGTATTGTAAGATGGACCCGTGTCCGTTCTGTTACAAATTTCACGGCGGAATATCGTGTGAACAGTGGAGAGCTTTTCAGTCAGTGATGACATTGGCGAAGCAAGGAAATGCAAGTGAATTACCGACTCAATTTCGAAGTCTCCTTCAGACCAAGGATCACGCTTCTGGGACGAAGCCGTCAAACCACTAAGCCCGCTGGATGGGGATCCGGTACGCGACGGGCCCAAGACGCCCCAGAATTATGTGTGCTAGCTTATGTTGGACCAGAATTGAGAAGACAAGATCAAGATAACCAACAATCCATGAATGCATTTGATGAAGATCTCCTTGCGGAAAGTTCGTTTTCGGATGACTCTCAGAGCAAACTTTCAGATGATTCGGATATCACCGCGCGTCCAGAATTTCGCCTGAGACGAGGTGAACGCTACGGATGGTGGCATGATCATGAGCAAGAAGAGAGTCGGAAAATTGCATTGGTGCATGGAGCGGTAAATAACTTTCGAACGGATATACTCTTGGATTCTGGAGCGTCAGTGAGCATGGTGAGTTTAGGCCTTGCGCGTAGGCTAAAGCTCGAGCTCAAGTATGGCAAACAGATTTCCGTGTCCGGACTTGGAGGTTTACCGACTAGCATTACTGCAAGTGCCGAAGTGAAAATCACCTTGGGACCAAGAGTGGTGTATGTCGTTGATGTTGGGGTCGCAAACATTGGTGGATGTTTGGATGTATTGCTTGGGATGAACTTCATGTTCTCGGCTGGCGTACGGTTATGTGTCAACGAAGGGCTAGTTCAACTCCCGATGAAGAACCAGTTTTGCTTTCAGGAAGGGGATTATCCCATGTCAAGCATGGCATGGCTCATGGAATCCGTCCGAAGTATACTATGTATCTCCAACCTGGAGAATACCGGACGATTCGACTGCCTGCGTTCCGAAAATTGATGCGGCCATCGACCATATGGGCTGGACGCGGAGATCGCTGGGTCACTCAGGTGTTGTACGCTTGGAAGGTTCCCGCTGCGGTTAAGGTAGTCAACATTTCCGATCGCATTGTCACTATTGACTGGCGGACCGAGGTTGCCCAAGTTGTGAAAAACGGTTTCTTCCCGAGAGCGGGACGTCATGTGCGCGTTGGTACTCGAAGATATAGGGAGTGGCAGACTCTCATTTATGAGAATACAATATCCGCCAAAGCCCAAGCTCGAGAGTCTCAACGTCTAGACGACCTTCAGAAAATGGAACCACCGGCCGTCCAAACGCCGAACTATCCGTGACCGACTAAGATGATGATTTTCCCATCGCCAGGTTGCGAGGAAGCGAGGGTGATCAACCTTCAGATAGTCCCAAGTGAAGTGTATGGTGAAACAGTCGAAGTAGGTGAGCGGTTGTCAATGAGGACGCCAGTAGTGGCGACGACAGTATCTGAAGTGAGCGAGCTGTCGGAAGTTGGAGATAAAACAACGGACGTCCCGATAGGTGAGGTTGAGGGAACGCTAGGTGACCAAGATTCCGATGATGAGGAATTTTTCGACTCGATTAGTGTCGAAGATGGTTTTCCTGGAGTTAATGGAGGACATTCCAAAAGTGGAACTCGAGGATGATGTCTTTTCGGACTTGCCAATGTCGGTGATGGCTTGTACGCCAGTTCAACAGCTCGAGCTAGAGTATGAGCGCGTTATGCAAAAAGTACCGAAGAATTGGACCTCGAACCCGCAGTCTATGTTCATGAAGGGAGCGAAACATTATCACAACTCAGGGAACAGCTCGCATTGCTTCCGGACATCGAAGAATTATCCCCGAAGTGTGATATCGATTCGGCCGACGTTGGTGAACCTAGCATGAGCACTCCAGAAGACGAGCGAAGATTGCGAGGGATTCTGAAATATCATCGAGCCATCTTTCTGGGAGATGGGAATGCGGTTCCAGCTCCGGCGCGAGGTGTCACCTGTGATTTGGATGTTGGAGAAGCGAACCCTGTCGCTCAACGCCCCCGATCTGTGGCACCACATTTATCGATCAAAGTGTATGAACTGCTGAAGAAGCTTCTGGAGACCCGGCTCATCGAACATTCAGAATCACCGTGGGCATCACCTACTGTGATTGGCCTCAAGAAAAATGGCGTGGACATTCGAATGTGTGTCGACTACCGAATTGTCAATAGATTCATCACTTTGTCCAATTACCCATTGCCGCTAATAGACGACCTGCTGGTTGGGTTCGAGGATGTCATGTGGTT